ATATATATATATATATATATATATATATTATATACAGTGACAATATAATAAATATAAAATTTCTGAGATATCGAGATTAAAGCAAAATAAAACGCCATTCCTGTAGATTCAATATACCTGTTACTTACAAATCATATTGCTGATGCAAATAAAGCAAATTAAATGAAAGGGTTTCGATAATTTATTTTTATGTACCCAACCACCCACGCACATAGAACAATATATACGGATACCACAATATTCATGGACACGGGATTGTTCTCCATATTAAATGAAGCAACATTTTTCTCTGGTAAAGTTGCATCTAACATGATTTTTTAAGTAAGAACAACTTTAAATTAATCAATAAAATTATATATCGATCAGAGTCCAGTTAACAAATAATGTAAAAATGTTTTTAAAAAACATTGACAAAAATTCGAAAAATATTAAAAAAAATTTTTTTTTTATAATAAGTTAAGTCAACCCTTTTTTGTTAAAAAATACGTTTATTTAAATGTTCGAAAGAATTAATGCTTAAAAAAATTTATTTTATAGTTTAAGAAACCATTTTAACTCTTTACCCTATTTTTCTCTTACAAATTAAAAAAAATTAAGCTTTATACAAACAACATACCACGATTCTCATCCGTAAGACTCATGTTTGACCCGATTTTCTTACCACGAGTCCCATACAAAGTTGTAGGCGAAAGGATTAACATTAGAAAAACATTTTTCAAACAATCTATAAATAATATTTTAAACCCTCACAGTATAAATTCTCTTTTAATGGATTAAATGGATCACAAAATATAAAAAAATTCATGTTCACAAAATATAAAAAAATTCATGCTTTCTTGATTATTTTAAATCAAGAATTAATACATAATTTAACCAAACTATTTGTTTAAATATTTTATTTTTACAAATATATAAATATAAATGTGATTACATTAGTGATATGTTCAAAAATTAACTTTTAAATAAGTCAATAAAATTTAAAAATAAGAAATGGAAAATAAAGTTTAAGATTCACACACATTTCAATTAATTTATTTTATATTTAATTTAATTATTTTAATTAAAAAATGTGCCAACACACACACAAAAAATTTTTTAAATATAAATGCTTAAGTTTGAGACATCGAATTTCATAATTTTGGAACTTATAAAAATAAGCTTTCGTAATAAAATTACATTTGACTTTAATAAATTCATTTTTATTTTAAATCTATAATCTTTAATTATCTATCTTTTATTTTCATTTTATTATCATTTATTATCTTTCTAAATAAAAATTAATAAAGGATAATATAACACCTTAACGGCTCAGTCGCATTAAATTTTACAGAATTGATCAATATATGTAAAGGACTAATTATGTTGTATTTAAAGTAAATAAAAATATAAGACATTTTTCTTAATTTTTAAAATGAATTTTGTGTTTTAAAGTACTTTCAAACTGGAAATTTTTTAATAAATTCTTTATCATTATTTTAATCAAAATATTATCTAATAAATTAATTTTTTTGAAAGCTAACACCCGATAGTAGTGTGTAAAAATTATGTATATTATTATATAGCGACAATTGATAATTACAAACGTTTCGACCATAGTTTTGGTCATCTTTAGTGTATTGATAACGAACAGATAACAGATTTAAATATTGAGCATTATATTAAATTATTATAAATGATACGCTTTGTAGAACCGGAGATACCTATGTCGTGATAAAGTCAGAAGTAATTGCCCGACAAAGTTTTCAATCTTCTACAAAACGCCTCGTTTATATAGAAATGTAATATACAATATTTAAATCTGTTATCATTTCATTGTTACACTGAAGATGACCAAAATTATGGTCAAAATGTCTGTAATGATCAATTATCATTAATAGTACGCACAAGTTTTATATATTACCATCCACTGTTGGTTTACATTGGCTTACATTTTTTACTTATCATGATTTATTTCTGTAAAGTCTTATTATATTAAAAATATATATTGTTTAATTCCTTTGAGTTGTATATCATAATAACCATTTTAAATCCTATAAAAATTTGAAATTTAAAGCTTACAAGATTAAAAGGATTATTGATATAAACTTTGTAATCGTTTTATAACACGTAACATATTAATTAAACGTTTTGTAAGAAGCAATTATTACATTATTTATTAATCGCACACGATTAAAGTCGTAACTGAGCAAGTCCGGTCGCAATCAAGTGTATAGTTTGGCATAGATATCAGCAATTGATGGAATTTCTGGCACTGATAGAAAACAATTTGTTTTTGAATCATATGAGCACGTAGCCAATTCCGTTGGTTGTTAGTGCAGGAAATCCTATCCTCGAAGATACAAATATCAGTGTTGCAGCCATCAAAATATTTTTTTCCTAGTACGCAATTTCTTGGCGCTATTAAATAATAAGTATAAAACTATAAATATTGCTGTAATTATATATGTATATAGGGAGAGCGGGTTTCTTCCGTCAACTCAATAAAATAATATGAAAATTTGCAGCAAGCAACATTCTTTTGTAGTGATGTTATATTTAAAATACATTACATGATTGCTGATATCACAAAATATAAAGTTTTTAAAATGTTTAATAGATGTTGTTCAGAAACATAAATTATGAGAAATAAACAAAAAAACCTCGCTCTTATTTCACTAGAGCTTAAGGACATATATGTCGCATCTTAAAGTATTATCAAAAAGTACACAATTTTCATAGATTATTTTATTATTGTGTGCAAGTATCTGTGTATAAAATTAGAGCTCAATTCTTTCATTGATGTAATTCTTCTGTTAATTTAAAATTTTTTACTTTTTTGCTATAGTGTTTTACAAGATTCCTGCTAAAAATGTAAAAAAAGAAAACGCTGACAGCTGTAAAAAACAGCTGTTTTTTTATTGATCAATATCATTTAAAGTATTATAATGAAATTCGTACAAAAATATAAACATTTTTACAGTTTTTAGTTTAAAATGAGTATCCGACTCATTAATTGATACAACTTTGGCGGAAAAACTTTTATGAAAAACTACATATATATATTGAGACAAGATTTTAGAAATTATTAGTCTCATTCATAATGAGACGTAGAACGGTATTGTTTGTTTGAAAAAATCTAAGTATCCTCCACCTTCAAACACAATGCCACTCCACTTATTTATTACTTCATAATATATTGTAATCTTTACGTAAACATGTTTATCTTTCTTTATAATAATTAACGCGATAGTTTTAATAGTTGATAGTATTCTTCTAAAATGCTTGTTAAACCGATACAAATCGGAAAAATTTATTAAAAATTACATTTAAGTAAACCAATGTTTTATTTGTTAAAAAAATCTGTACCACTAATTGATTATGATTATACCACTTTTATTATTAATGATTATTATTATTACTATATTATGTAAGTATATGCTCAATAAATACTTTTTTAATCTCAAATGGGTCCATTTATTTTAGAAACTATTGTTAATCCAATCCCTAGGATTCTTTATTACATTGGATTTAATAGAATTACAGAGGACGCAACTGACACCTATCTCGTGAATTAATACCCTATTGTGTTGACAGACGTATGCTACGTGTTGTCATTATTTCATGTTTTAATCATGTTATCCTTGTTCGCAGAATGTTAAATCAGAATAAAATGATATATCATGGGCATTACGCAATGCAGCCACTCTTATGCATTATAGTGTATATTTTGTAAGTTTAATTAAATACATTATTCGATTTCAATTTTTGATATAATTTGAAAATTTCTGATAACCTATAATCCAAATTATCTCGCTTTCTCCTATGCGAAGATCAATTATGCTTTTACATATACACACTTACGTATGTACGTGTATAAAGCAAAGCTGGAAATCTCATAAATGTAAGCGATTCATGTTATTGATTATATAATAACAATTTGTAATGGTGAAAATTATTTCGTATACAGCATCACATAAAATTGTTCCAAAACAAGGAAGAAACAAAATGTTGAAAAGGGGTGACATTTTAAACATCATGGTATAGTTAGCTATAAAAGTGATTATCATATATTAAACGCCTTTTAAAAAGATTTGAAAATATGTATAAAAGAATAAAGGTATCTATATAAGTATAAAAGAATAAAGGTAACTTTCTCATAACAATAAATTTCACAATTTTCAATTTTCTTATCTAAAAATTAAGATTTTCAAATTTTCTATTTAAAATCTATCAAAATCAAGTCTACGAAAAAAGAATAAGATCTTAGAAAATATCTACAAACATTGTGAAATTGAAAAATTTTATTAAACACTCTATTTCTATCTTTTTACATTCTATAAAAATAAAATAAAGATAAAACGATATGTAAACAAAAAATTTATCAAAACCAATATTTCTAAAATATTCCTACAATAAATGTCAACAACAAAAAATGTTATTATTTTAAATTATTTTATTTAGTACGACATATTACTATTGTATTGAAATTTTATAAAACATAATAATGTAGATTTACTCTCGAAAAAAATAAAAAAATCGGCCATATAATGAATATATTATTCGTAATTCCAGTTAGATTTTATTATCTAGCAATCAATTCCAAACTGACCACAATGCTAGAAAAGTTTCACTTTCACAGAAACCATTTATCGCGAAATATATCCGACAGTATGCCAGATCATATTAAAGAGTTTATATAATTGTTGTAAGTGCGCGAGGCATGCGTGCTATAAAACAATATATTACCGACCTCGAGCAGTAATTATGATTATCATTATTACCACCTGTCGTAATTTGCTATCATTATTTTTATCGTTTACTATTTTATAATAATCCCCTATTCTTCTTTATTCGTTATCTATAGCCGCGACCAATTCATGCTTACAATGCTTATGTCATGAGCAGTCTTTGTGTTTAATATTTAACAAACAAAGTTGAGCATATCAGTGAATGCAATACAATCCCATATTTCTTAAAAAATTATATTGTTTAATAAGAGTCTTTCTTACAAAATATTACTTATAATAATCACATTAATACTTCAAAATGTAACTTTTGCTTACTTCAACATGTAACTGGTAATATTATTTGATGTATATTCTCTTTATGTATATAGTATTCCCATCTTAGATTGCAATTATAATCACAATTGTAATTATATTCTTTACACACACACACACACACACACACACACACACACATAAAATAATAATTATTAAATAACAATGTATTAAACAACAATATATTAAAGTTAAAGATAATGTAAAATTATATTTTCTTTATATATTTATATATATTTATATGTGCTGATTAAAACTTGTATTCTATCTTGTGTTTTTATGTTTACTTATAATACATTATTAATTATTTCGATTGAATAGCAGTTTTATATAAAAGTGTGTTTTTGTGACAGTTTTTGTAATGCTGTTTTTTATAAATGTAACCTATGCGACACACTGACGTATATACCTAATTTCCACTTATACGTACATGTACTATGAAGCAAACATATTGTAATCAGTATCAATGCATCGAAACTTATGCAAATCTGATACGTCGGTCAATTATACTAATCGCGCTCCAGCAAATTTCCGAGCATGTATATCTCTATACAAAGCATTCTCTCTCGCATGTTAATGATGTAATATCGTATACAATACTACAGACAATATAAATATGAGCCATAGAAATACAATGTATTCAGTTGTCGGATTAACTTTGTGCAAGTTGTTCATTTCTATCATTAAAACGTAGAAAAATGAAGAAATCACTTACGTTTTTCATTTTAGCGCTAATTGTTACCGTAAGTTCATTTTATTTTCATAAACGTATAATATACAAATGGTTCTTTTTTTAAACTTATTTCGATAAAAATTTAAATAGAACATTTTATACAAATGGATTATTGTAGAATTTACGATATACAAGAAATTATTTACTTCTTAATTTTAAATATCGTACATTTTATAAGCAAGCTTTAAATTAGGATTAACATGTAAATAAATTAAAAGAAGTGTTATTAAATTTAGCGATGCATTTCGGAGAATTAACGAAAATTTTGTATTACTTTTATTATATCTCGAAAACAATGCAAAATATGAAAAAATATCAATAGAACTTTTTTGTAGGAAATTAAAGTATCCCGCACCAAGCTTAAGGGAAAATGTCTTTCTGCGGATTTGGCTAAATTTTGGATATGTTGTAGTTTTCTTCATTCTGTCTCAATGGGTACAACTTGATTCTATAAGCCGTTTCCGCGCTACAAGCCTTGAAAGGTCTAAATTTTATATGATTACTGGACCTTTCAAGGCTTATAGCACGAAAACGGCTTAGCATTAAGTTGTGCCCATTAAGATATTTGTTTCAGAATGAAGAGAATTACAACATATTCAAAAATTAGCTAAATCCGCAGAAAGACATTTTCCCTTAAGCTTGGTGCGGGATACTTTAATTTCCTACAAAAAAGTTCTATTGATATTTTTTCATATTTTGCATTGTTTTCGAGATATAATAAAAGTAATACATAATTTTCGTTAATTCTCCGAAATGCATCGCTAAATTTAATAACACTACTTTTAATTTATTTACATGTTAATCCTAATTTAAAGCTTGCTTATAAAATGTACGATATTTAAAATTAAGAAGTAAATAATTTCTTGTATATCGTGAATTCTACAATAATCCATTTGTATAAAATGTTCTGTTTAAATTTTTATCGAAATAAGTTTAAAAAAAGAACCTAAATATACAAAAAAAACGAAGTTTATAAATCATTAAAAATTGTATTTAAAATACAAAATAAAAGCAATAATATATTGAGTAAAATTGACCGATAAGAGACATACGTAAGGGAAAAAGGTCATTCTATCAATGTGGTAATTTTCGTGTCTAATATATTTCTTTTTATTAATTTATACAATTTCCAGTTAAAGTTAACTGTGCACTGATTATCTTTTTATTGATTTGTTGGCCTTAAAATACAGCTCTAAATCGAAGCCGGAATAGTAGTATCACAATAAGTTTAATAATATAAATATTTATCTTAGAAGACTCATAATACAAATCTGTAAATAATTTAATTGCAATAAAATTACTTAAATTAATTAAAATACGTATACAAAATATAAATACTGTCAATCTTAATTTTTGAAATATAATAGAATATAGAAATATAATAGAATATATACTTTTTGTGTACCCCCCACTGAAATACAAAATACAAATTATATTTATATTTCAAATACGGTACTTCAAATACAACGAATCTTCAAATACAACGAGCCGATGGCAGAATTAGAATGTATTACGCACTAATTCTTTTATAAAGTGGTATAAATAATTTATATCTTTTATGTCATATAATTACTTCAAGTATAATTGTGATCATAATTTAAGATTGTCATATTAATAAAGTACAAAGTAATATGGTTGAATTTTAGGTAATTGCAGATGATGATAATAACCTGGAAAAGATTGCAAAAGAATACAACACGGATGTATCGACATTCCAGGAATGTCTAGACGAAGGAGAAATGAAAATAGGTAAATTATCTAGAAATAATAAATTTACAAATAAATATAATCTTTTTAATATCTTCTCTTATTATTATTATTATGACTCGAAATTTAGAATATTATACAATACATTAAAAATTTCTAATTTTAAATTTATAGTTTGAAATTTAAAACTTAAGAATAAAAAATAATTTTAAAAATATTATGCAATTTCTAAGTGTTTGCGAAAAAAATTTAGAAGAAAACATTAAATAATGCACAATAAAATTGCGTATGTATATATTTTAATAAAATCTCTTTTATATTTAAAATGTGTATCCTAGAATTATATGTAATTAAAAAACAATGTTTACAATTTTTTTAGAGGAGTTAAAGACTGGGTTGGAAAATTTGTGGGGCGGCAAGAAGGATTTCAATGAAGAACAAAAAAGACAATTTCTTTTCAAATTCAAAAAATTTGACGCTTGTATATTAAAAAAGAAACAATTGGTAATAATTTGTAATAATTATTATACTAATAAATTATTAGACATAAAGAATTCTGATAAAAAGTATAGTGTGCAATTGAAGCAATTATCAAATAACTATTTTTCCAGTCATGTTTTGTTAAGATACGTAATAAATGCGTGAAAAATAGTCTATTTTTATAACATAAATTATAAAAGTCAATTGAGATTTTAATACTTTAATTTTATATTTTGTTTAAATTTTTGTTGAAGGTTTCAAAAAAGACTCAGAACGTATTAGAGATGCAATCAAATATGAAATAATTACAATAATAAAATAATAAATCTATTTAACAATGCGTAATAAAACATAATGACAAAAACAATAAATAATAATAAATATATTTTCAACTCATGCAGCATAGACTTTTAAGGGATGTTTTAAAAACACTTAAATGATGTCCTTCTATGTTCTAAAAACATTCCTAAAACGTCCCTCGGATAAAATGTGCTGTATGGGAATAACATGATTTATGAATAATTACATGAGCTAAAATAATGTATAATTTACCGGGTGTTCCAGGATGATCGCCAAATATTTTGTGTGGTGATATAGAGCGATCTAAACTGAGTCGAAAAGACCTTTATCATTTTGCAATATTTGCAATAATTAGCAAGATGTTAATTACTAAAATTTGTCGAATATTGGTTTTCAATAATTCTTTACTCAAATACTGTCAACTTTAGAGAAAAACAGCAAGAGACGAAAATTGTTTATTTTCTTCTCTCATAGAGCACTGAGAATTTTTTCAAAATTTGTTAGTACCGCATTTTCTCATATTGGTAAAAATAGTTACCAATATAGAAGATGCAGTACCTACTCCAAAGTTGATAAAAAATTCTTAGAGTTCTATAAGAAGAAAAAGAAACAATTTTTATCTCTTATTGTTTTTCTGTAAAATCAAAAGTACTTGAGTAAAAAATTATTGAAAATCAATCGGCGATTTTTAATAATATCTTGTTCACTATCGTTGTAAAAATTGCAAAATGGTAGAGAAGTTTTCGATTAATTTAATTTAGTTAATTTAATTTAGTCCGTACTACCTGCCTACGAAATATTTAGAGATCGTTCTGGAATACTCTGTATATTTTGCCTATAAACTTAATAAATATTAATCAGAATGATAGCCAATAATTAATCTTTTAAATAGACAACCCGTAAGTGCAGATGACGTATGTATTGTGTACTTTTTTCTTATTTCAGCTGGTAGATGGGAAATTAGTTATAGACAAAATAATTGAAGAAATAAAAGAAAAGATTAATGAGAAGGGTTTGTCACAACCTTCAGAGGAAACTTTAACGAATATAAAGAAATGTTTAAATTCATGTAAGTAAATTCAAAATAGCATGCAAAATGTTCTCTTTCTACCTATTTCTCTCTCTCTCTCTCTCTCTCACACACACACACACACGCGCGCGCGCGCGCACAGACACACACACACACACACAAAATTTTATTATAATTAACAACAATAGAACAAAGTTAATGAGAGTGTGATGCAGTAAACAGAGAGTAATTAATATAATTTTTACGCTTTATTTACTGTGTCGCAGTCTCATTAGTCTTATTTTGCTGTTGATAATTTTGAGAATTTGTAGGAACTTTTCTTCCTTTGTGTGAATTAGTTGTAATTATATTATGCAATGCGATCAAGGAATACTTAAAAAAGGTAACTACGACAATGCATAAATGTTGAATCGCTATTAAGTTCATCTACAATTATTACAATTATTACGTCAAACAAGCTTTCAAATAAATTATCTGAGAAACTAAATAAATATTAAAAAATCTAAAGGTCTTTTATATAATGTCGGTATATATTCTCGATTGTAACGAGTAAGTTTGTATAAAATCGATATAGTTAATCTGAAGATCTAAAAATGTTTTATGTGCAAAAAGCGACAATTATTTGCATTTTGATACCAATCCTCGCATATACGTTCACATACAAAACAATTTTAATCGTTTCGTACTTGCCATTTTTTGACGGAATAATTAGCATTTAATTTATGTCTTATTAAAGGATATTAGAATCGTTCATTATGAATCTTTAGTCAAATTTCAGAATTCAAAATGGCGGATCCAAAATTTTTTATTTGAACGATCTGTCTTATCACGTGCTTCAAAAAAATTCCATAATTGCTATTGATACGATCTTTTTTATTTACATCTTGTCAATTATACATCTGACAAGTGACTCGAAGAGTTTCTGGAAAATGAGTTCCACTCAAAGTCAACAGAACTTAGCATTTTAATCTGCCGTATCAAATTTTGGAATTTTTACATATTCGGTCCGCCATTTTTAATTTCGGAATGCTATTTTGAAGAACTGATGACAAATCTGCATTTCAATGTGAATGTGCGACTCAACATGTATTTAAAAAACGAATATTTATTTTTGTTTATAGTTTAACATATTCATAATTTATTAATTGGAGAAGATTATTTTGTTTCATTGTTAGTTACTAAAACATTGTAGGCATTTTTTAAATACGTTTTTGTACAAACGTTTTGTTAGAAGTTGATATTCCAATATGAATTTGCGTATATAATGCGCACTTTTATATTACATGTATAATATAATGTACATAGTTCTATGAATATTTTACAATATTGCTTAGAATTTTGTTTTTAATTTTTCCAGTAAATGAAAACAGCCAAATGACTGAGGAAGACAAAGCTTTTGGTTTACTTCCGTGTGTAACGACTAATTGGAAAGACGAAAGACAGTAAAACAAGATTATAAAATACTGTATATCGGCTGAATAGAAAATCATAATACTTCCTGTACATATATATATATATATATA